TATGCACGACCCCACCAGCAATGCTGATCTTTTTATCGTGCTAAAATAAAGTTCTTATCTATCTATCTACCTATCTACATGATTATGTCACTTACCTCGTGTGGTTGGGACTCCAAGAAAGTGCATAGCCTATAAATCATAAATGCAGGTTTTATTAGTTATTGCACTACTGACAAGGTACTATCATGAAAAAAGCCAAATTCAATCACAGGCTAAAAGTTTTTAACCCAGGCTGATTCTTAATTTCTTTTGTCTCCTATGGCTGGGAGACAATGGAAACTGAGGCCCAGTTCAGAGGCTGAACTTTTCGTGAGCCAAACCTAACATATTGAATTAGGTTCTTGAAAAGTTTGCATCTGAATCAATTAGGAATACCTCATTCAATTTGGAAGGGCTCAGCCGTTCTTCCCGCCTAGAATGGCTGGGAATTTCGCCTTTGGAGTGACTCTGGAATGCTTTTGATTCAGATGACGAACTTTTCATGTGCCGGACCTAGTGAATACATTATTATGACGTATTTTGTGAGCAGTTCAACCGAAATCAGCATTTTATCCTTTTGAATTTAGTTCGGCTAGAATTAAGATCGGTGTCTGAATCAGAACAGCCGGTCTAAATAATCTGGGTCGACCTTATTTGAATTAGGCTTGGCTCATAAAAAAATCAGCGTCTGAGCCGGGGCTAAGAATCAACAAAGGTTAAATCTGATCAAAATAAACCTGAAATCAAATTTGACCTGGGTCTTAGGATCTTGGGAAAAAAAACAACAACAAAAACAACATTCAGGGCAAATCTCAATAATCTGGCCTTCTCAAATAAAAGCTCAAAAAAAAAAAATATGTGCTTGGTTTGCTGTAGTATCCTCAAAACATACACCCTTGATAACTTAGCAGCAAAACTGCTTCATGTGTACAGTGTTTTGGGCATAAAAACCCAATAATAATGCATAACTAGTCACCTCACTGCAGAGGAATTCCCTAATGCTTGACCGTAAAACTTTTCGGCCATCTGCGTGCCTTGAATAAGGTGTTAAACCAGCACCTTTGAACTGTATTTCCCATCGCTCGCCTTTCTTATTGACTATCTCACCAAGATACCTGCAACAGGCAATCAAACAAATGGCAACATATTCTTTCAGCATGCCAACAAGATTAAAATATGGTTGATATGAAAGAGACGCCAAATAGAGGCAGCCATTTCAAAACTGCACACCCACCTAAAATTCAATAAAAAAAACCTTGTATATCAAAAATAATTTTTTATGTGGAGTTTAAGACAACAATATTGCTAAAGCATTGATAGAGAGAAATGGTCACACTATGGCAGCTGGTGTACTTAGAGTTCCTTAAGGTTCTAATTGGGACCAGTCATTTACAAGAGAGATTATCCCAAAGTTGTCAAAAAAACTGGAGAGTTTCTGTGGACATCCTCTTCCAAAACTAGTTTCAGAAGCATTTTAATTCTGTATACTGTTTCCAATTGGTGTGAAAATAGGCCAATGAAGCAAAAATTTCGAAATTTTACAAATTTTATACCGCGGCATTATTTTCGTAAATGGCAGAAATCCTGGTTGGTGAAATAGCAAACTGTTTACTTGTGAAGTACTTTGGTTGATCTTGGATCAGCATGAGGCAGGTGTTTTGGGTATAAGGTACTGTATCTTTCACCTGGTAAATTACAAATGATTTGCAGTATGCTGTCTCCTAAAAGCTTGGATATACTGAGAAAAAAGGTGGGGAAATTTTGGGTATACTGTCTAATATTAATTTTATTCTGGGTATAACAGTATATTTCTTTCCCCTAGCCTATGTGTAGCCGTAACCTACCTCTGGGGAGAAAACAACAGGGTGAGGGTATGGCTACACAAAAGCTACCTAACCACCTGGCTTCCATGCTAGCGGAGGTCTCTCACAGCAAGAGAAAATGGTGAGGAAAGAGAGAGACCTCTGCCAGCCTCCGATGTGTTCTTTCAAGTAGCTGCTGACCAATTTTGTGGCCAAAACTTACTTATTTTCAAAACTGGTTTTGTTTAATGTGGAATGCACGTGTCCTGTTTAGACTGCATGCTGGAAATTTCTGAGCCCACAGTTGCTATCACACAAACCGGTTTTGCAAGTTGTGTCACACGTGACTGAAATGTCTTGAGTGGTTATGTGCTGCTCAAGCCTACGAATGTGGAGACAATTTTAGAAAGAGTTTGCATTTACTAGTAAAATAGCGTAGATCATTGTCACATGACATCACAGTGGACATATTGGTGGACCACAAAAATGGCCAGCCATGTTAATGTACCAAAAAATTCCTGTGTGGGATTAAACACTTTTCCTTCACTGCCCGCATGATTGAAAATGATTTGTCACCTTCTAGAAATAGACCAGCTTTGATGCCCTACTTTAATTAAATATTTTATTTTGTAACTGATTTTGGGAACTGTTGTGCGTATGAAATACTATAATCCATGAAAATCATGATCCCTTTTGGCGATACATGCATAGGTATTTGGGGTGATACATGGAGAGTGCCCATCCCCCCCCCCCCCCCGGGAATCTATTACATCATCTTTACTAGAGCTTACATGGCAGCCCCATCTCCAAGCTGACCAGAAAAATAACCGAACTGATGACCACAGTAGCAATGTGCTGAGGGCTCCGCACCAGGTAAAAGTTTATTGCCACTGAAATACTCGGGGAAATCGTCGCGTTTCAACTCCTCTTGAGGCAAATCTAGGAGAGACATTGCTTGAGAAGAATATGCAACTGTTCTTGCATTTTCCACAGGAGCGGGTTCAACACGTGAAAAACAAGCTCCAGATACCTGTCGTACATAGTTTTTGGTTTCCTTGTCTATGGGTAGCGTTCTCAACGCCAGATTGTCGAAATTGAGGGTTTCCAAAGTGACGTTTCCACTCGCCATCTTGAAATCACCAAGTTCCTTTTCAAAGTTCGTGCAGAAAAACTTAAAATGTAAGTGCTTGCAACATACGTTTAAGGCATAGGAAGAAGGTAACAATTTCCTCTTCAATGCGAGATTGTGATTTAAAGTCCACCGCCAGGAAAGTATTCTCTTCGAGCAGCTAAAGAATGACATGTACCTGATTGTGAACCCAGTGACCGGCAAATGCAAGGAAATCCGAATGGTTCCGAATCCTTCCGATTGGTTCCAACATTTTCCGACTTTCTCTGACCCAGACCTCCGACGCTCGTCGTCTTTGAACCGAGGAGCGGGCGAGAGGTTTTTTGGAGCGTGACTTTTATCCTCGTGCTGCATACAGAATTCAGTTTGTGTCTGTGTGAACGGTTGCTTTTTGTGGAAAATATTGTAATACAATGGGCGAAATAACGTAAGAAATAAGCTCCCTTAGCATCGCTTTTCCTTGATTTTGTACTTGCTTAATACAGTTTTATTTCTACGTTTAGGTCGCTTCATCCAGCTACAAAATGGGCTCAGCGGAAAGACAGATTATTGCTCACGATAGAATTGTCCGATTGTCAAAAACCAGATATTTCTGTTACTTCAACACATCTTCGTTTCAGGTAAGAGGGCGATGTTTTTTTTTCGTACGTTCCACAACATTCTTTGCAGAATTCATGTAGATTTCAGTGACACACTGAATGTACATGTACATTTTTTCGAATTCGGTGCTAGCAATACCAAAGAGATTAAGCTTTTAACATAAAGCCTTCCAGTACCTTGGAAAATTTGTGCTATTTCTCTGAGCAAGCGTATTCTTTTCTTTTCTTATTATATTTTTAAAAATCGCAGTGCAAAAGGAGGAAAGGAACAGAAAATTTATTCGTTGGATTTGGAATTCCATAAAGACGTTGTCCCCGAGGTAAGCCAAAAATGTAATTCCGGGCGTACGGTATAAAATAGTTGTACAAGTATAAAAGCTTACATATTTCACTTTTTTGGTGTGCTTTGTATTTTTGTGGATGGTCTGGCTACTTTGCGACTCTAGGATTAAGATTATTGATACTTGATTGGACATCATTGGTGGAAAACCCCATTATGTTTGGTTCAGAGAGTGACTGCTATATTTGTCAGGGCCATCCTTGTTGTGGATATGCAGTTAGTAGGCGGGCATTGAACAGCCAGGAAGTTATTTTGGTTCTGTTCTCCTTTTGTTTCCTATGAAAGTGGTTGGGGTTCATGCTCAAAAACAGCCGACCTTTCATGATGCGGCTGATGGTTTCCCCGCAAAATGACGTCTGAGAAAAGAGCACAAAAGACACATCACATCACAGATCTGGGTAGTGCTTCTGATTGGTTGGAAATTTGCTTCATCCAATCAGAAGCCCTATCCAGATCTGGGTAGTTACGTGTCATCAGTAAGGAATTTATGTGCTTCTTTCTCAGAAATCATTTTGCGGGGAAACCAGTCGTGTCATCACAAAATATCAGCTGTTTTCTCAGGCTAGGGAAAATCCCTACCCCTGGCCCTTACTGACAGCCATGTTTGTGTTGGATGCCATCTTAGTCCAGAAGCTAGAAAGGGTTTTATGCAGAAACTAAGATTTCTCAAAGACTAATGGATGCCACTACAGCCCCAGGGGGGCTAGGTGAGGGGTACTCCCATATATGAGCCTGATAAGTATGTCCTGCCTGATAGGGTGTGGTTTTTGAGGGTCTCCTTCCCTAAGTAAGGTATCATTTTTGCCCTTGTTGGCATTGTGTTCCTGGTGTGATCCTTAGATAGGGTACCATTAGTATATCAACTAAAATCCAGGTGTGGAAATACCCAGCTACATGAGAAACAAATCATCTCTTAAAACTGAACTTTACCATAAGGTATGCTCTGTGTTTCCATTGAATTCTTAGCTTTTGTTTTTTCCTTTAATCAGGTATCACTTTTCAGGTTTGGGCCTTAAATAGGGTATCAGATCAGGGTTTAGGTTTAAGACCCTGGGTGGCACACACCTATCCAAAATTCATGGGAAAACCCATCCTCCTACCCCTCCAGGACTTTAGCACAGTTTATATAAAGACAATGACTCAAAATTATGGTGGCCAAGGATCCCACTAATATAGGGTATGTTCTGGCAGCACTCAGTAGTCTCTATGTTTGCCTTTTGGCGAAAAGAAAAACGAATATTTGGTTTGAAAAAAAGGACTTTATCCTGGGCTTCATGGCTTTTTATGGTTGATAACTTGACAACAACAACAGCCTTATTTACTTCACATAACATATAGGATACTACTGGCCCACAAAGTAGCAGAAACACTAATCAAGGTGGGTCTCCATACTGTGGACTCCATACAGTTTTAGAGTATGCAGCCTAAATGAATTCCCATATGAAGAGCTGAATTTGTGGTTATTTCCCTATTGTTAGGAGTCTAAGCAGCACGTCACAGCAAGAGAAATTTCTTTGAACATAAAGAAGAAAGAGGAAGGACCTTATTGGCCAAGACTACTCAAAGACTCAAAGAAGGTATCCTAGAATGAAGATTATGTGAACTGCGGAAATAGAAATTTAAATGAAGATGTGATCGTCCAAGTGGTAATTGCATTTTGCAAATTCGCCTGAAAAAATTTGGGGACTTCAACAGGATTCAAACCCATGGCCTCTGCATTAGTACTGCAGTGATCTACCAACTTTGCTATGAAGACCCATACATTGGGAGCAAGCCAAAGAAAAATTATTTCTTGAGTTCAATTTTGGATCAGCTATTGCTTGAATTTCAATTACCACTGTGACGATCATTTTTCCATTTAAATTAGGATTTATCCTGTTCATAATTATACCTTTCCATTATTCTTTCACTGGAATTATGCAATAAGGTTCAAGCATAAACAAAATGACAACAATTGAATGAAAAGTACTAATTATTGACAAAAATAGAAAAGTAAAAAACAGGGTACACACTGTATAAATTTCTCCTTTGTTGCTGAAAATGTTTGAAACACCATCCTTTGATTTATGATCGATTCCAGTAATGTGGTTATCACTTTTCTTGCAGCCTAGTTTCCTTCATACAGATTTCAACAGATGGAGAGATGAAGATGACTCTGAAGAAGAGGATACAGCAATAGATGATAACTTTGAAGCTGTAAGTAAATTGATTTTACGGGCTCTCGTAAAGTAACAAATTTCTTTATTTTTTGAACCCTTTTCACCTAAAGAACATTTTTTTTATAAGTGCACCAGGAAGCTTGCAATAATTCTGTCCTCAGACTACTTTTTAGTAAAGTTTTAAATTTTTAACCAAGTTAAAAGCATGTTAGTTAAGTATCAAACAAGTTTTGAACCATGAATATGACAATCTTGACTTTCAAGTTATTCATTTACAAGGTAGTTTTTGCTAATAAAATTTCCCTTCTTTGACTTTGGGTGAGGCTATAAAAAAAGGTGTCTCCGTTACTTTGCATCTGAATCATAGGCTATTTGAATTACTTATCAATCTTATACAGTGGAACCCCATTTTAATGAACCTCGCTCTAACGAAGACCCCGTTATAATGAAAAATATCTGAAAGTGGCAGAATTACAGTAAAACACGTGGAAACAAACCCCGCCATAACAAATAGATTTTGACGGTCCCAAAGCACAATTATTTACCCTGCTGTAACAAATGTTTTGTCCAGTCCCTCACAGCAGCCATGACAGATTTGAGTAGAAAGCGAGCTTGCTTTAATTTAAAGTGTTTTTGAATTTGATGCCTTGATTGTCAGCACTTTACACTAATAGTTTACAGTATGAAATGAATAAAAATAATGTTTTCTACGTGCAGTATTGAATTCTTGGTAATTGTTCTTTATTAAATTACCCCACTATAATAGAAGTAGTGTGGAGGATTTATTCCTGGATATTGGGGCTTAAAGAGTTTCATTATTAAAAATTTGTTAAAATATTATTGCTTTTACTTTTAAAGATGATGAATCAAATGGGTGCAGCTGGTGGACAGGTGAGTTAGATTAAAGGAGATGCTGTAAAGCAGATAATTTTGACATTATATACCACTAAGCAGTACGTATGTTGCCTGTTTTAGGTTTGCTTTTCTGTATTTCTTCAGTAGTACAGGGATCAACGTGCTAGGATTCTAGGTCACTCGTGATGTCTTACAACCTTTTTAAGGTGCTATCTATAAAACACTTATATACTATAGACGCACATAAATGAAAGAAACTCAACTAACGTAATAGAAACGCATTGTCGAACTTTGTAGATGTATAACCATAAGCGTACTTAACCCATTCGCTCCTGGACATTTTGCCGAAAAACGCGTTTTGAAGCTAGTCGAGTGGTTTTCTGGTCACTGTCCTGCTATAAAGAGCTAAAACTTACCACAAACCGGTTTACAGGTCGAACACTTCGCCGTCTTCTGATCCAGATGCAAAATATCAGCTTGCGAAGTTCGGGCATGCGCAGAAAGCAAAATTTCGACATAGTTTTTGGGTTTAAAAGTGACACAGCAGTCTTGACTTTTACTTTTCGCTTTTTCTCCTCCCTTCTTTTTTCGCTTTTCTTGCCTCATTTTTTTTTTCTC